CCTACATCATTATTTTTCTAAAACATGATTTTTAATGCTTGCATAGTATTTCACTATATGCATGAATCACAATTCATTTAGTTTCCTATTGTGGGCAGTTTTCCTCCATCAGTAACACTGAATGAGCATCCTTAAAAATGGTGCTTTTGTTATTTTTTGATTTGGTCTCAGAGGTTTTTTTTTTAGCAGAATAGTTTTCCTATTTACATTGCCCTTCTCTCCTCCTTTCCCCATAATGAATATGTCTTACTCACTTCAGTCATTAACATTCAAGCTTTCTGGTTTTTCGACTTCCTTGCTGTCACTTTAGGTTATATGGACTGCATTTTCTTTCGTCTTTTTTTTTTTTTCCTAGTGATTTGTAAGCTACATACACTTAAGTAGATGTAAGAAAACTGGGCAAATTAACTTCTCTTAATGTCAGTTTTTCATTGAAATGTGAATAGCATGTGTCTTAAAGGACTGCTGGGAGATTCAAGACGAGCATTTAAGTGCCTAGCATAGTATCTGGCACAAAGTTACATGCTTAATAAATGGTAAATACTTTACTTTAGTAGTGGTTATCTAAAAGTTTAAAAGAAACATGATTTTTTCTTTCTTGTTAAAAATTTTAAGAACAAAGCAGGGGCTTCCCTGGGGGCACACTGGTTAAGAATCTGCCTGCCAATACAGGGGACACGGGTTTGAGCCCTGGTCCGGGAAGATCCCACATGCCGCGGAGCAACTAAGCCTGTGCACCACAACTACTGAGCCTGTACTCTACAGCCCGCGAGCCACAACTACTGAAGCCTGTGCGCCTAGAGCCCGTGCTCCGCAACAAGAGAAGCCACCGCAATGAGAAGCCCACACACCGCAACGAAGAGTAGCCACCGCTCGCCGCAACTAGAGAAAGCCCGCGCACAGCAAAGAAGACCCAATGCAGCCAAAAATAAATAAATAAGTTTATATATAAAAAAAGAACACAGCAGTTTTCATTGAGTTCACCCTATATAAGATAAAAAATTTAACATACTTCTATTTCCTTTTTCCTCTCCTTCAACTTTGTTTTTGTTGATAAATAAAACTATGATAATAAATACTTTTTTTTTTTTTTTTGCTGTACGCGGGCCTCTCACTGTCGTGGCCTCTCCCGTTGTGGAGCACAGGCTCTGGACGCGCAGGCTCAGCGGCCATGGCTCACGGGCCCAGCCGCTCCGCGGCATGTGGGGTCTTCCTGGACCGGGGCACGAACCCGTGTCCCCTGCATGGGCAGGCAGACTCTCAACCACTGCGCCACCAGGGAAGCCCGAAAATAAATACTTTTAAAGTATGACAAATATTTTTATTTCAATAATTCCTACTTATATTTACATGAAGTTTTTTTTTTTTCTTCACCCGCGCGGTGCAGCATATGGGATCTTATTCCCCCAAGCAGGGATCGAACCTGTGCCATTGCAGTGGAAGCCCAGAGTCTTAACTACTGGACCGAGAAGGAATTTCCTACATGAAGGTTTATGACTATACCAATAATAAGCCAGATAAAGAACTAGGTCTAGGGGACTTCCCTGGTGGCGCAGTGGTTAAGAATCCGCCTGCCAACGCAGGGGACACGGGTTCAAGCCTTGGTCCGGGAAGATCCCACATGCCGTGGAGCAACTAAGCCCATGTGCCACAACTACTGAGACTGTGCCCTAGAGCCTGCAAGCCACAACTACTAGACCCGCATGCCACAACTACTGAAGCCCTCGTGCCTAGAGCCCGTACTCTGAAACAAGAGAAGACACCGCAATGAGAAGTCGACGCACTGCAACGAAGAGCAGCCCCCACTCGCTGCAACCAGAGAAAGCCGGCGCGCAGCAACGAGGACCCAACACAGCCAAAAAACAAACAAAAAAACCAAACAAAACGAAGTCTAAGTAATTTGTTCTGCAGAGCTCTTGATTTCTCAGCCACATACGGACAACCCTCTGTACTGGTCATTTTTTTCTGTTATTACTCCTGTACTTTGAATTTTACTTCTATTATGGCGTTTTTCACATTGTTTTCTTGTGTGTTTACCATTCTACCTCATAAGGCTATGAACTCCTAAAAGGCAGGACTCCTGTCGTATTCTCATCTTTATATTCCAAGTGCTTAGTACTTAGTAGTAGCTA